TTATTTGCTGTCTTGTTTTGGCTAATGCCTCCAGTTGTTTTTTTTCTTTTGGCTTGGACTGATGAACTGTTTTCCCAGAATGCAGGACTTTTGTTTTTCGCATGGACAATACCCGGAGAGACTGGTTTTCTTTCCAACTACAATTGTTACAGGGCAGCCCCGATACAAAACAGGGTGCCTGACTGTGGGTCCCCGCTTAAAAGGACTTATCAATGCTCTACTGCAGGCACACACGAAAGGTTAATAAAAGGTTTATTCACAAGGGAAGGGGAAATGAGGAAATGTACAGCACAGGGAGAAAAATGGGAGACAAAGTTTTACATGCCTCCTACCTGATCCGCCGATCTGGAATCCCAAATGGCACTCTGAGAGCTGGCTGCGAGCCAGGAGCTGTGAAGCCAGGAGGCCAGCGACAGAGCAAGCCCCCCAAGGCCCACGTGTTTGGTTTTTATACCAAACCTGGCTGCTTAACTCCATCCTCAGGTCCCAGCCACCTTCCCTTTGGTGGTGACTGGATTTGTCTTTCCCAATGTCTTGATGGCTTTGGTCTGGAGTGGGGGTGGGGTCCACAAAGCCTGTATGGGATTAGCTCAGGACATCCTTTCCCCCTAACAGAACCCTGAAAAATTTTCATCTGAGGCTGCACCCCAGCACCCACACATTTGATCTTCAGCACCAAAGAAAGGGTGGCAAAAAGTGAAAGGAGGGAATTGTTGGGGGAAAGGATGTTGGGGGAAAGCAAACTCCCTACAGGCTTTGTGGACTCCACCCCCACTCCAGACCGAAGCCATCCAGACACTGGGAACTACGAATCCCTTGACCAGGAAGGCGGGGCTGCCGGGACCTGAGGGTGGGGTTCAGCGGCCATGTCGGGTATAAGACCCGCCATGTGGGCCGGGGTCCCTCCATAGGCTCTTCCAGGCTCTCAGCGGCCACCGGGGTTCCAGGTCAGCGCACCGGTAGGACGCGTTCACGAGCTTCTCTCCCTCCCCCTCTCCCTGAGTTACTCATTTCCTCCCTTCCCCTTCTTCTGTCCCTTTTAAGCGCGGTGGGGGCCCGCAGGCGGGCGCCCGGCTCACGTCGGGGTTGCTCCGGAACAGTTTTACTTGACAAGTACCAGGCGGCTAATCCGCGCGCCGCAGGGTGCTGTTCTGTCCCGCCGGCCGCGCTTCCTCGCGACGCTCGGGTCTCTGAGAAGCTGCCCTTTTCCGCAAGAGAGAGAGTTCTGGGCCACGAGAGCAACCCGCTGGCTCCTCGGCCTCGCCGCCGTCCTGGCGACCGGCTCCCAAACCAGCCCCTGGCTTTTTGTACGTCAGGTGTGCCAACATGGCCGCCCCCATGGGCTCACGGCGCACGGGCGCAGACATATTGCCTCCTGACACCGAGCGGGGAAGACGCTTGTCGCGTTTCTTCAAATGCGTTTGCGCCTCTTCGGCCACCGTACGCTGACTGTAATACGTGCAATTTCCGACGTAGAAGCCGTTCACGCAAGTGTTCTCTTTATTTTTTTTCAATATATATTTTTAAGATTTATTCATACGTACATACATATATACACATATACATACAAACAAACATCAAGCACTGGGTACAGTCAGAAGCGCGGGAGGGTGAGAGAATTCACCAGAGCCAGAGTGGGGAGCAGAGCAGGCAGAAGGACCGAAGGACACTGCTGAGGGGAGCAGCGGGCAGCAGGAGAGGTCTGCGCGCCATGGGGGACCCTCCTCCCGTGGCCGGGGAGCAGCCGGGGATCGAACCAGCGCTGCAGAGGCCGCGGGCAGCCTCGCAACCCAGCGCTCAACCGCTGCGCCACGGGGGAGGCCGGGAAGTGTTCTCTTTAGGCGCTCGTGGGCCTGGGGAGAAATCGGGTCGGTATCTCTTCTTGTCCCTGCAAGTGTTTTTGTTGCTTTTGTTTTGTTCTGTTTTTCCATGGGGCTTTGTCTTTCACTGGGTGCCTGGCGACCGGAGGGGGGAATTATTGGCGCGTTGGGGAAAGCCTGGGGGGTCGGCAAAAAAGACTGAGGTTCGGCAGACGCCGGCGACCCTGCCCCACGTCCGGGGGCGAGGTCTTACCGGGTCGCCCTGTAAGGCAGCGGGCGCATCCACGGCCACCGTGTGCCTGGGTCCGTTCGGGCTTAACGTGGGGCTCAGTGAAGTTTGGGTGGGGTTGGGTGACCGTCATAGGGGGGTGTCCGCCCCGGGATTCGGGTTGATAAGTAGATGGATAGTCAGGGAGGTGACTTGGGCAACATGGGGCCCACTCGGACCTTGGTTCCCAGTACCTCCAGTTCATGGATTCAGGGCCCTTTGCCGTTGATTTGGGGGTGACGCCACGCTCTGACTGGTGGGTGGTGCAGAGAGGCTTGTGCAGACGCCTGGGACCCCGGCTGGTGTGTGGCTTGAGGCGGTACAGCCCATTCCGTGATTTGAAGCATTCTGGGTTTTAGCCTTTTCTCCAAGGGCTGATTGACTAATGCAGACACGCCTCCTGTTTTGTTTTAAGATTATTTATTTATGGGCCTCCCCGGTGGCGCAGCGGTTGAGCGCTGGGTTGCAAAGCTGCCCGCGGCCTCTGCGGCGCCGGTTGGATCCCCGGCTGCTCACCAGCCACGGAGGAGGATCCCACATGGTGCGCAGACCTCTCCTGCCACCCGCTGCTCCCCTCAGCAGCGTACTTCAGTCCTTCTGCCTGCTCTGCTCCCCACTCTGGCTCTGGTGAATTCTCTCACCCTCCCGCGCTTCTGACTGTACCCAGTGCATGTATAAACAAAACAAACAAATATAATAAATAAATAAATAAAAACATGCCTCTATTTAAAAAAAAAAAAAAAAAAAAAAGGTGGACCTGGGACTAAAAAAAAAAAAAGATTATTTATTTATGCATACAAGAACTGAGGTACAGGTCAGAGATGGGGGTGGGGAGAATTCACCAGAGACAGACTGGGGAACAGAACAGGCAGACTGACTGAAATACACTGCTAAAGGGAGCAGCAGGTGAGACACAAGAGGTCTGCCTCGCCATGTGGGTAGCTCCCTCGCGGGCCTGGGATTGAACTTGTGCCACTGAGGTTGCAGTTTGCTTCAATTGTGGTTCGTAACCCTTGCACCACCAGGGAGGCCCATGTTAGGCAAAGTTTATGGCAAAGACAGAACTGAATTCTTTGACAGAGACCTTGAGCCTTAAAGTAAAACATGTGACATATCTATTTCTTTGCAGAAAATGTTTGCCAGTCCCTGCACGCCCCTCTTAACATTCAGGGGTGAGCACTCGCTTACTACCTGAGAAACTTTCCTACGGCTTTGCTAACAGAATCTCCCCTAACAAAAGGGAGTGGCTGCATTTCTCCCTCTGGTAAAGTGACCCATGTTCCAGTTTCCTACTATGTCCTGGTGGCTCTGTTGGGGGGAAAGAATGTCTAAAGCAAACTCCACAAATAGGTTTCCCAGACCCCACCACAGACCAAAGCTATCCAAGACACCAAGGACTACAAATCCCATAATGCCCTCATCACCGAAGGGAGGATTGGTTGGAATGGAGGGTGGAGTTAAGCCCCCAGGCTTGGTATATAACCAGACATATGGGCCTTGGGGGGTCTTGGTTTTTCTCCGCCTTTCAGCTCTTGGGGTGCTCTTGGGGTTCCAACTCAGCAGAACTGGTAGGACACATTCACCCATTTATTTCTCTCTCTATCTCCCTGAGTTACTCATTTCTTCTTTTCCCTTTTTTTTTGGGTAAATGAACCCTTTATGAACCTTTGTGAGCGTCTGCAGTTGAGTCTCATTTTAAGCCCCTTTTAAGTGCGTGGGTGAGGACCCACAGTCAGGCAGCCTGCTGCAGACAGGACAGCCAAGGAAGTTCCCTGCCATTAATGAAGACTCAAGAGTCTAAGTGAATTTGCAGCGGGGGGAAGGCTGGGGAGAGCCATCTAGAGCAGCTCTGCCTCTTACTCTCCCAGCCCGAGCTTTTATTAAAGATAAGAACAAAGAGGGCCTCCCCAGTGGTTGGCGAGAGGGTTGAGCACAGTGCTGTGAAGCTGTCCGCAGCCTCTGCAGCACTGGTTCGATTCCTAGCCAGCCATGGAGATTCCCACATGGCGTGGCAGACCTCTCCTTTGGACCCACTGCTCCCTTCAGCAGTGCTTTCCGTCCGTCTGCCTGTTCTCCCCGCTCTGTCTCTGTTGAATTGCGTCATCCTCCTGCACCTCTGGCCTGTACCCCAGCTATTGTATCTTTAAAAAAAAATATGGAGAAAGAAACAAGAAAATAGCACGCAATTATGTTTTGCTTATACTGATGAATAAGTTACTGCTGAAAACAAGTTTTCCTGGTTAGTGGGAAACATGTGCAGAAGCCAGCACGTCCTCAGAGAACAGAAGTCAGTTCTGGGAAGAAGTAATGTTTGCAAAACTTCTAACATCCTGGAACTTGATATGCAAAGTAAACGGGTGCTCTCCAAAACTCTAGCTCCCTGCAGGGCAGCAGCTCCCAACAGCAGCCCATCTCACACTGGCGTTTCCTGTATCAGTGCCAGCTCCTGCTGCCCGTGCTGGAGTTAAGGGCGTGGTGCTGCCCTAGCCAGGTGTACGCATCTGCACATTTCCTTCGTGATTTCTGGGGGAGCTTAGCTTCTTAAATCATTAATGACTGGGATCCTTGTTCCATGAAGACAGTGGTATTGCCTCAACGTTGTTGCTTTTCTGTTCACTTTCTACTGTTTAAAGTTTGTTCTGAGGGCCTCCCCGGTGGTGCAGCGGTAGAGCGCTGGGTTGCAAAGCTGCCCGCGGCCTCTGCGGCGCCGGTTCAATCCCCGGCTGCTCCCCGGCCACTGGAGGAGGGTCCCACACGGCGTGCAGACCTCTCTTGCCGCCCGCTGCTCCCCTCAGCAGTGTACTTGGGTCCTTCTGCCTGCTCTGCTCCCCGCTCTGGCTCTGGTGAATTCTCTCACCCTCCCGCGCTTCTGACTGTACCCAGTGCATGTATAAACAAAACAAATAAATAAATAAATAAATAAAACATGCCTCTATTTAAAAAAAAAAAAATAAAGTTTGTTCTGAGCTCACTGTATGGCCTCTACTCTCAATACTTGGTAGAAAGTAGGTAGGTATTAGTGGGCGCATAAAATTCAGCTGCTGTGTTGCCTGGAGTTTGTGTGAGGGAGTAGGGTGCTGGGGCTTGGAATTCATCCAGCATTTCAAGTTCAGTGACATGAAGTTCAGACTATTCCTTCAAGACCAAAAAAAAAAAAACCCAAAAATGTCTGCTTCATTGGTGTCTCGGCTTAATTTCTTACAGTCTGTTGACCCCAGTTCTTTTTTTTTGCTCCACTCAAACCCAAATGGGTATGTTTAAACAAAGAAACTGTTCATTGTCAGCTCCCCTGTGGTGCTGGGTGAACCCCTTCTGGGTTAGTACATCTGGTCCCCACAGGCCAGTGTCATTTAACATAGTGCATTTTCCTAAGGCAGACTCCTCTTTTGTTCATTATTTGCAAGAATCACATCGTTGCACAGACCGTTTTTCTCTGTTCCAGGGCTGTGCAGCCTGTTCTCTGAGTGTCTCCGAGTAAATGTGTTGGGCGTTGCAGGCCACAGCCCCCCTCTCGCTTAGGGTTTTGGTGTTTTGTCTTACCAGCCTTCCACATGTAGAAATTGTTCTTAGCTTGCAAAGCTGGACAGGCTTTGGGAACGGGTGCTGTTTGCTCTTTGTTGGGAGTAGATGGCAGCTTTTCCAATGTATAAGGAAAAGTGTTTACAGTTTGGACAGTTACGGATGACTCAGATGTGAGTACTCTCACCCTTGTCTTCTGCTGCGCATGGGCCTATATGGGGGTGGGGGCGGACATGTAGCTTGGAGGTACTGTTGTTCGGCACAAAGAAAACTTGGACAGCAGGGCCAAGAGGAAGCAGGTTTAATGCTCCGGTGCTGACTCGGTGGATTCGCATCCCAAGGCTGAGCCCCCTTTATAGGAAGTCAGGGCTCATAGACACTCTCAGTTTCTACAAGGTTCCGGGTGGGTTTGCCTTGGCAGCTGTTCATGGTCAGATAGGACGTGGCTGCATTCCAAGAGTGAGTTGTATACCAAGGAGTAAGTCAGGAGTCAGTAGTCATGGGACCCCCCAGGTCCATCCTGCCTCATGGTTAACATCTGACAAGATTCCTACCAGAAACCAAGTTGCGTCCAGGAACTGAGCAGAAGGTCGATACTAAGACCCCCCAGGCTGCTTTTCCCGGTCACCAGCTTCAGAGAGCCCAAGCGAAACTGCTGTGTCTCAGGGTGTGTTGGGAAGAGAGCAGGCCAAGGGCATCAGATCGAAGCAGGCTTTATTGGACGAATGCCTGTGAGGGGCGATTCTCCGTGGCTGCAGAGTGAGACTCGGGCCTTGAACTGGGGAGAGCGGGTCTTTATGGGGCGCGTGCGGCGGGCGTCCCTACTGCCAGAGGGGTCTCGGGAGTGTTTACTGCTGTCAGCTTCTCTCTAGTTCAGCTTATCTCAGGTTCCCTGGCGCCGGGTTGTGCGGGTTTACGAGGGACCTGGGGGTGCTCTCATCGGGGTGTATGTATCTTCCACCTACACAGCTGTCAAACGCTGTCCAGAGTGGCTGCGCCGTTTCTGGTTCCTCCGGCACAATATCGCTTGCTTTGTGCCGGCCATGCCCTGACGGCGCGGAGATGCTCCTGTGTTCAGAAAGTCCCGTGCGTTTGCCTCTGTGGTTGGCAGGTGCACCCCAAAATGATTTTTGTGGGGGTAGTGAGGAGGGGCTCAGCATCTCCCTTTTGGCCCACCATGTCATGGGCTCGGCCCCATTATTTATTTATTTATTAAGATTTATTTCTATACAAGAACTGGGGTACAGGCCAGATGCAACGGGTGGGTGAGAGGATTCACCAGAGACAGAGCAGGGAGCAGAACAGGTAGAACGACTGAAATACACTGCTGAGGGGAGCAGCGGGCGAGGCAGGAGAGCTCTGCTGAGCCATGTGGGATTCTCACCGCCGGCCGGGATCCAACCTACGCTGCAGAGGCTGCGGATTGCTTCATAGTGCGGCGCTCAACTGACTGCGCCACCAGGGAGGCCTGGCGCCGTTTTGTAAAGCCCACACTTGCCCTGTGTGGCTGAGTCTCGGGCTGGCTGTGTGTCCCGGCGTCGCTGTGTTTCCCTTCCCTGAGCAGCACAGTGTGTGCAGAAGACATTTGTTCCTGTTGCCCAGGACACTAGGGGGGCGCAGAGAATGTGGCCTCACCTGCCCGGTTCTTGTGTTCACTAGCACTTTCCCCGCTTCTCCAGGCAGGGAGGAGCACGTCAGCCTCGATGACCGTCTGACTTACAGTGTCGTGCACTTCGGTTCACTGTGCGTTAAAACCTCCTCAGACAATGTCAGTCAGTGTTGCCTTTAAGGCCACGCTTTCGCGCTCCCTGGCTCTCCCGCTGCCGGGCCTGTGTCCATAGGGCGTGTTGTTTGAAACAGGAGAGCCGCTCGCACGGTTGGGGGACAGCGCCCAGACCCTTCCTTCCTCACGGTGTCCCTCTTGTACCCGATCTGCCAGAGGTCTACTTGCTCCTGAGCTTGGGGCTGGGGTGCATCTCATGCCCTCGTGTCCTTTCTCAGTCACCCCACTTCACCTTCTGCCGCGGACCAGCACAGCAGTAGACGATGAGGCCGTCTCAGGGTTGAGAGACTGCGCAGGGTGGTCAGGGATTCGGTTAAAGAAATGACAGACACACTTCAAGAAAGTGTAAATCTGAGTGCAATTTTATTTGAGTCAGTGGTCAGTATACATATGTTTTTTTCTAAAGGCATAGGATCGGTGAACATCAAAGAAATCAGCTTGCTCATAGGTTTAGCTTATCATTGACAGGGCAGTGATTTAGGTCCAAAATACATCTGGACCTAGCCGCATTCCTAAGTAGACAGGCTATTAACTCTTTATATTCTTGTTGTACTAACTACTACTACTACTACCTACTCATGTTTACTCATAATTAATTATCATGGGTGAATTTATATTATAATGCAGTTAATATCAAAGGTACTAAAGTCAAGCACATAATAGAAAGATTATTAAACCAACAATTCTATTATAACACAGTGTTTAATAATGTTTTATTTGCATTAGCCTGTTTATTAAATTATGTCTGTTTTTTAATTAGCAATCAATGACCAGAAAAAGGAAAGATTTTAGAAAGACAGTTGTAGCAGAATAAAGTTTGTGGGCCTTGAGAAAGCGAGATAAGGTTCCAGGTGGTCAGCATTTCTTTTAATCATCTTTGTGGCGGCTTCTGGTGGTCGTTATCTCTTGGCAGGCATTCGGCTTTTCTGCATCTTAGGGAGTTTGCTGTTCTCCCCCTGTGCGCATGGTTCCTTGCCCACGCCGGACCTCAGGGACCATGGCAACAGCCATTAGCCCTGACGTCACTGCAGGGGGAGGTGCAGCAACCTTCACACAGTAAAGGCAACCTGCACCCCACCCGGATCTCAGCTTTGAGGCCAGCAGACCCCGTCCTGGGACACGGAGTCATGGTCCTGGGCAGGATCGTGGGTACTGAGGGTGGAGTGGGGGAGCAGGGTGGCCTGGGCTGGAGGGAATGTGCCACTCATGGGGTTCTCCTGCACCCACAGGTCCTGACTCTGGGGAGCAAGAGCATCCAGGGAAGGAGGAAGAAGACCCAGGACCCCAAGATTAGCCTTTGACGGAAGACTGAGAATCGGGGCAGCAGGTGCAGCAGACCCGGAGCACACGCTGGGGAACAGCTCGCGCGGCGGGTTCTGAGGCCTGGGTGTGATGGAGGTGCCTTTGCTTTGTTTTCTTCTTTTGTTTGTTCCATGTTTGTTTTGTTGAGTCCCCAGGGCTAGGGCAGAGATGGGAGGACAGAAACGAAGGTTCCCAGCACAGACTCGGGGACACAGGGTTGAAGGCCCCACATCCCCCGGCAAGGTGGGCGCAGCAGGGAGAGGCCTTCCCTCTGGACCCGGCGCCTCCCCTGCTGCGTGGCCGTGAGTCTGGAGGCCTCTTGAGAAGTGGTAGCGCTGAAGAGTAGGCACCGCGACAGCAGGACCTGAGAGAAGTTAACCGAGTTGTTAACGCCGTGTCAGGGTGCGTGTGACGGGAGGCGGGATTGGGGGTGAGCGTGGGGTTGTAAGGGGTCGTCGCTGCGGGTGCATCTGATGTCTCTGACGTCAGCCCCGCAAGTAACGTACCTTCGTGAGATTTCGGGTTGGAGGAGGAAGTAGGTCCCTCCTGGTCTCTGCTCTGGGACCTTGTTTGTGTCCCTCCTGGAGGTGACAGGGTGGGGGGTCCCTGAAGAGCAGCTGCTCGTGAGAACGTCCTCCGGGCAGATCTCTCCTCCCGCAGTAGGAAACCTTCCGACCGGACGCCAGGTCCGAGCGCGAAGACTCAGCCCAGAATGTCTTAGGGGGCATTTGCTTTACGTGATGCCTGTGCATGCGCCTGGGGGATCCATTCGAGCCTATAAAATGCACAGAGCGGAGAGCGTGTCAGGTTCCGCCCGTGTCCTCACAAGGCCTCTCGCGCCCCCTGTGCTGTGCAGGCCCCGCTGACCTTCGCCGACGTGGCCGTGGGCTTCACCCCGGAGGAGTGGCGGCTCCTGGCCCCCGCGCAGAAGGACCTGTACTGGGAGGTGATGCTGGAGAACTACAGCCACCTGGTGTCCGTGGGTGAGGACGGGGCCTGGCCTGGGGGCCTGCAGGGCCTTTTCTGCTGGACCTGGGAAGGCTCTGGAGTGCGGGTGCTGTGAGGGGGAGGGTCTCAGTCCCCTTCTGCTCCTGAGAAGGGCTGTTCTCTTCTCCTCTGGGGAGATAAGCCTTTCCTATGTGCATGTGAGTGTTTGATATCAGGAGCCTCTGTGTACAGGTGGCTGTCGTGTCCGGTCAGGCACAGGTCCAGTACCACCTTTCTCATGTGATAAGAAGAGGAGGGTGTACCGCTGTCTTTCCTTATTCACAGCAAACCCCTTTTAGCCACCTCTGGGTTGAGATGAGTAGGAGGATTTCCAGGGCCTCAGGTCACCTCAGGCTGGTAGCTGCTGCCCAGGGACACACCATGTTTATGGGGATGAGACTCTCGGTGGACAGGAAATGGGTGGAGGGTGAGTTAGTAGCCTGGTCACCCACAGATGATGATCTCCGTGAAGCCTCCCGAAAACCCAAATGACAGAATTTGGGAGCACTGGAACCCTGAGAGGTGCTGGGAGAGTGGGGTGTCCAGTCACCACGAATGCTCTGCCCCGTCCATACAACTTCCACTGTTACTCTTCCTGGGGCGTTTGCAGCGTTTTCTTTCATGATAAGCTGTCACCTGGGAACCAAACATTTCCTGAGTTCTGGACGCCCTGCCCGCAAATTAATTGGAGCTGAGAGGGCATCATGGGAACCTCCGGTCAATGAGAAGCTTAGTAAATGCCTCATTGAGATTAGTATCTCAACTGGGGGTGAGGTGGGGCTGAACCCCTAACCTGTCCCTTCTGTTGCTTCCTCTGGGTGGTAATTGTCACACTGAGGTAAACTGTAGCACATTCTGACACCATCCATTGCTGTCACAGAATTCCTGGGTGTGTCAAAAACCCACATGGCAAGGGTTAGGGCTGGATCCCCAATCTGCTTCCCCTTTCTAATGTGAAAAGTGTTTGGTCCTCACATAAAACATCCCATGGTCCCACGGCCCACACCCCTCAATGTGTCTCTCTCTCATGTCCCTTGACCAGGTTACCAAGATTGCCAACCTGACACACTCTCCAGGGTGGAAGAAGAACTGTCATGGACACCGGAAGCGGAAATGCAGAGGTTCCCCGGCTCAGGTGAGTGAGGAGCAGCTGGGGCAGGTATAAAGACCTCGCCCTGAGGCCAGAGAACCACGAGTTTTATTTAGATTCATTTCATAGAGTCATCAGGAAAAAGTGATCTTTATGGTGGTTTTCAAAATACCTTTATATGGGCCTCCCAGGTGGCGTGGTCAGTTGAGCGCTGCACTGTGAGGCTGTCCACAGCCTTTGCAGTGCAGTTTCTGTTACAGGGCAGGGAGTGGGGTCCCCCCATGCCCGTCAAACCTGCCTGCTTTAAATAGGTATGCCGCATCAACACAAAACATATGAGACTTTAATGGGAAGGAACTTTAATACAATTAGGAAACAGTACAAGAAAGGCAAAGAATATAGTTTCTAAATCAAGCACCCAAAGTTATCTGTCCCTTCCTGGGTAAAAGTCCACCCAAGCAGGATTGGCCCAGAAGAAGGCCCCAAAACTTGCCACAAGTCTAAAGCATGTTCCAGTGGGGAACCCGGAAAAGGATCAGAAACAACCAGACAAGTCTCGAAGGAAATGAGCAAAATCAAGACAAAAACTGCCATTGTCACCTCCCCATGGGTCTCTCACCCACATCTGTTTCAACCAGTTCATGAACCAAAGGGAAGCGCAGTTTCTTCACGTGTCTCTCAGCTCCATGTGCCTCTTCCAGGTCTCCTTCCGGCTCTCCCTCCTGCTTCCTTCCTTCTTCAGTCTCCTCTACAGCTTCTTCTCTCCCTGCTCAGCTCTACCCTCCCTTGGGTGGGGCAGGAAACCTGGAACCTCCCCCTTTCCTGGGGACCACCCTGTTACAATTCGATCCCAATGGCTGGCAAGAATCCCACATGGCGCGGCAGACCTCTCCTGTCTCGCCTGCTGCTCCCCTCAGCAGTGCATTTCATCAGTGTGCCTATTCTGTACCCTGCTCTGTCTCTGGTGACTCCTCTCACCCTCCTGCGCATCTGGCCTGTACACTGGTTCTTGTATAAATAAATAAATCTTTTTTTTTTTTTAAAGATTTATTTATTTATTCATATAAGCACTGGGTACAGTCAGAAGCGCGGGAGGGTGAGAGTATTCACCAGAGCCAGAGCGGGGAACCGAACAGGCAGACTGACGAAATACACTGCTGAAGAGAGCCCCGGGCGGCAGGAGAGGTCGTTGCACCACGTGGGATCCTCGCCTGGTGGCTGGGGATTGAACTGGCGCTGCAGAGGCTACGGGCAGCTTTGCAGACCAGCGCTCAACCGCTGCGCCACCAGGGGAGGCCCTAAATAAATAAATTTAAAAAAAAAAAAAGAAATACCTTTATGCCGGGCCTCCCTGGTGGCACAGTGGGTTGAGCGCAGTGCTGTGAATCTGTCCGCAGCCTCTGCATTGTGGGTTCAATTCCCAGCCAGCTAGGGAGATTCCCACATGGCACAGCAGACCTCTCCTGTCGCACCCACTGCTTCCCTCAGCAGATCTTTCGGTCCTTCTGCCTATTCTGTTCCCCACTCTTTCTCTGGTGAGTCCTTTTGCCCTCCCGCACATCTGGCCTGTACCCAGTTCTTGAATAAATAAAATAAATCTTTTAAAAAAATACACAAAAATCAAAATATCTTTATGCCAAGGCATGATGATGAAGAGATTCATTGTTCTTTTCAGAAATCTCAACAATTGAAGATTATCTGCCACAGCCGTCACAGCTTGGGAATGTGGAGAACAAAGTAGAACAATGCCAGAAAACTCAAAAAGTAAAGAAACCTCATGTGTACAGGGAATGTGGAAAAGCCTTCAGGAGCAAATCTTTGCTTAGTGACCACTATAGCCTTCCCCCAGGAGAGAAGCCTCATCAGTGTGGTGCGCGTGGGATAGCCTTTCGCAGGAAGGCCATGCTCTCTGATCACCAGAGATTTCATACTGGAGAAAATACATATGACTGTACTGACTGTGGTAAATTCTTTTTCCACATATCAGCGCTCAAAGGTCATCAGAAAACACATACAGGGGAGAAACCGTATAAGTGCAGTGACTGTGGGAAAACTTTCAACCACAAGGGAAATTTCGCTGTACATCGGCGCGTTCATACAGGAGAGAAACCTTATGTATGCAGTGAATGTGGGAAAGGCTTCAGCCAGAAGATGTGCCTCATAGCCCATGAGAGAGTTCACACAGGAAAGACTCCATATCTGTGCAGTATTTGTGGAAAATACTTTTCTCAGAAGTCAGGTCTCCTTAGACATGAAAGAATTCACACAGAGAAGCCCTATGAATGCAGCGAGTGTGGGAGATACTTCACCACAAGGCAACGTGTCATCGTCCATCAAAATGTTCATACAGTAGCGAGACCCCATATGTGCAGTGAGTGTGGGAAAGCCTTCACTACAAAGTATATGCTCAATGTCCATCGAATTTCTCATACAGGAGAGAGTCGCTATATGTGCAGTGACTGTGGGAAAGCCTTCCCTACAAATTATAAGCTCAATGTGCATCGATTTTCTCATACAGGAGAGAGTCGCTTTATGTGCAAGGAATGTGGGAAAGCCTTCCCTACAAAGTACACGCTCAATGTCCATCGAATTTCTCATACAGGAGGGAGTCGTTACACCTGCAGTGAGTGTGGGAAAGCCTTACCTAGTAGGCAGCAGCTCAGCCTGCATCAACGGAACCCTCCAGGAGATAAGCCCTGTGTCTGCAGTGAGTGTGGCAAAGCTTTTGCCTATGTGGCTTGTCTTTTTTATCATAGGCAAATACATCGAGAGAAATATGTACATTTGGTCAAGATGGAAAATCCCCCCACTGAGAGGCATGGCACATCCCAGACCAGCCTTGTCCTGAGGGAAAGAAACATTGCCAATTCTGTTTCTATGCCAGTGTCTTCTGTGGCCCCTGAGACATCATTAAATGTCCTTGGGCTCCTGGCAGATGAGAATGTGGTCCTAGTGGGCCAGCCTGTGGCCAGTGGCACATCCTTAGGAGACAACAGCTGGGTTGCATGGGACGGAAACCTCACGGATGCAGTGAATGTGATGGTGCCTTCAGGGACCCATTATGTCCTATGTTATGTCGTAGAAAACCAGTAAGAAGGAATTCACACCTCTTTGTGGGAAGTGGTGTGCTAAAGTTCTAGGTCACAGTATGTGAAAAGAATAAACTCGGAGAAGTTCTGTAAATGCAGCACCTGAGAAGCCTTCTGTACTCACCCTATTAAATACATGCATTGGCACCCTGTGGCATGTGGTGTTATCCCAAATGTGCACACAGTTGCTCTGATGTGTCACTGGAATGAAGGGAGCCTGAGTGATAGGTGACGCAGTTGAGCTTTTAAAGCAGGTAAGGCCATCCGTGTGTGGACTGTTATAAAATGCAAAACCGCACAAATGCCATGATTGCAACTGTGGCCTGGAAGTTGTGTTTATATCTGTGAAAGGTTGACTGAAAAGTAGATACATCCTTTAAGTCTTACAGGTTTCTGTCATGCAGAGAAACTTATGAAACTGCTTAGTTTGGGGCCTCCGCAGTGGTGCAGTAGGTTGTACACAGCGCTGTGAGGCTGTCCACAGCCTCTGCAGTGTGTGTTCGATTCCTGGTCAGCCAGGGAGATACTCACATGGTGCAGCAGACCTCTCCTGTCTCACCCGCTGCTCCCCTCAGCAGTGTCTTTGATTCGTTTGCCTGTTCTGCTCCCGCTCTGTCTCTGGTGAATCCTCTCACTCTCCGGCACTTCTGGCCTGTACTCCAGGTCTTGTATAAAATAATCTGGGCATCCTTTGTGGCTCAAGGGATTAAGCACCGCACTGTGAAGCAATCTGTAGCCTCTGAAACACGACTTAGATCCCCCGTTGGCCAGGGAGCAACCCACATGGTGCAACAGACCTCTCCTGTCTGGCCTGCTGCTCCCCTCATCAGTGTATTTCATTCAGTCTGCCTGTTTTGCTACCCACTCTGTCTCTGGTGAATTCTCTCTCACAGTTCCCACATCTCTGCCCTGTACCCCAGCTCCTTTGTGCATAAAGGAAATAATAAATATTTAAAAAAGAAAAGAAAAAAACCCCACAAAATTCTTTGGAAAAAAAAAGGAAAAGAGAAGAAAGTAGAAACTGCTTAGTTTGGTCAGTTCTTTCATTAAATCTACCTTTGTACTTGGTGCTGTTCCAGGAGGATGGAATTCAGTGGTGACCAACAGAACAAACCTATGGTCCTAAGCAAGCGAATAGAGTGACCAGTATTCAGTGGGGAATAGAACAGCCTGATCTATACTGCTGAGGGGAACAGTGGAGAGACAGGAGAGGTCTGCTGTGCCATGTGGGTAGCTCCCTGGCTGGGAATGGAACTTGTGCTGCAGTGGCTGCAGATAGCTTCATAGTGCTGAGACTTAACCCCTGCGCCACCAGGGAGGCCTGGTCTTAGCTTGATTGCAACCAGAGAATACCATAGCCTGGGTGGATTTGGGGACAAGTATATTTCTCACCCTTTCAGGCAGAGAAGTTTTTATGAAAACCCCCAGAGACTTGGGCTTTTTCCAGGTCCTATCTCCTGGTTCATGGAAGCCACCCCAGTGTCCTCACCTAGGGACAGTGTGGCATGCTGTCTGCCGTGTCTTCCAAGAAGAAAAAACTCCTCTGACATGGGTTCCACCCTCTGACCTGGCTACCTCTCCCAAGTCCCACCTCATGCATTGTATTTGAGATTCTTTCAACATTGGGTTTTGGGGAAAGCAAATACTGATTTCATGGGACATACGGAAAAGTTGCTTCAAAAGTTAGTAAGAATCTCCTGTTCGGGGGACTTATTTCCAGGGTGAAGGATTTCCTGTAAGGGATTTGGAACACCTGAAAGTCACGTGTTTTGTTCTTTTTCATGTTTCATTCATTTTTCATGTGTTTCGTTCATTTCACGTTGTTTCGCCAAGTAGACTACAAAAAAAAATCCTTGCTTATTTCTGTGGCTCTTTGAATATCTTATAAACAAAAACATTTCCTCAGTTTCACTAAGTCACATCTCAAAACTAAGTGTCCCGGGTCATGTGTGGCTAAGTCAGGCAAGGAGCCAGACTTTGTAGCTAATTAAATGGCTGAAGCGCATGTTCTGACCAAACTGTCTACGTCATCCCTGAAAGGTATCTTTGCAAGCGCTGGTTCCGTGACTATTTCTCAACAAAATTTTACGTTGATTTGGAAAATGAATGAGCACACGGCCTCAACTATTATTACTGATGGAATTGGCCTTGGGAAGGCGGTTCTCCTTGAGAACTCTGTCTCCCCCATATTGATGATTTCAGACTCAAGAACAGAATATAAACTGGGCAGAGCAGAAAAGGAAAAGCATCCTCAGAATACATAGATACCGGAATCTACTCCCTGAGAATGGAGGAAAACAGGAGATTGCAGGTGAGATCCCCAAACGTTATTCTGGGAAATTTTTGTCCTCAGACCTGTCACCCTTGAACCTGCCACCATTCCAGAGGATTCGAGCTCCACTGTTAAGGCCTGAAGGGAGACGTACCTTCTCTGTAGTGCTTGTCTCCTGGGAGTGCGTCCCTGGGCCTGTCACTATTCTGCTTATTTCTCCTTACTTGTTCCCTGCCCACGAGACCTGTCCAAATCTTCCTGTAGGAAAAGACCTGGAAACTGACCATATGGTGGCTGTCTCCAGTCAGAAATCCTGGGTGATTGAGTAATGGCCTATCTGTTTTTGTGCACCATCTGTGTGCTTCACACTGTGAGGAGATATTGCATAAAACAGGCCAAGAATGGCTTTATACATGCTACTCAATTTGAGAGAGAGTGAAGGAAAAGGAATCTAATGTGCAAGGAGTGACAAGTTCTGTGAAAAAGGCACCGCCCGGGAATGGATGGTAATGTGATCGGTACGTGTCACCAGACAACCGTGCCCACCTCTGCGCTTTTTTGGAGAATTAGAATTTGAACAAGAATGAAGAACATGGTCTCCCACTATAATTACTGTAGCCAGAGAATGCGGCAGGACGATTTTTTATTTTCTGTAGAGGCTTCCTGTCCCAGGTATTCTGTAAAACAAAAGAATGCAGGTTCCCGAGTCACCCCAGAACTTCTAAGCCAGAATGTCAGCACTGACGTCCAGGACACTCTTTCAAATGAGAGCCTAGTACCCACTTAGATTTGAAGATGGCTGCCTAAGTCCCCCATCATCACCCTCACTTTATAGCAGGATGACCCAGGCAGGTCCTGTCCCGGGAGGGGTCTGTCCTGAGTGCCCCCAGCCAGCAGGTCTCATGTCTCATGTTGTCCTTGTCTCATTTCATCCTGCTTTTGGTGTCAGCCTGCTAATTGCTGGGACTGGTCAGACCTGTGATGGCTGCCCTGAGCTCTGGGGACACGTGAGGAATCCACCATTGAGAAGTTGACACCCCAGGACTAGTAGCCCCTGTGTATGCCAGGTGCTACCAGCCTTAGTATATCTGGGCACCTGCAAATAATTGGGAGTACCCTCCACGTGAGTCCTTGGCGCCACACTCAGGAACGAAGCACAAGCCCTGAAAGCGGAAATGGGGTTTAATAAAGGGGCAGGTGGAGAGTACATTGGCCAGGAAAGGACGCTGCTGGCAGGGCTGCAGGAGTGGGCTGTGAAGCCGCAGAAGCCCCCTCCCTGCTGTCCCCACCTGCCTCTGCTGAGCAGTGAGCAGGGCACTCTGGGGAGAAAAAAAAAATGATGAGCCCAGAAACACCTGTAGGGCAACCTGTTGTGCTGCTCCCTCTGCCTTCCCAAGGCTGCTCCCTCTGCCTTCCCAGCCTTCCCCCACGCCGTCCAGTTCGTGGCATACGGGGGAGCTGGGCTATGCAGGTGGGCTGTGGAGGAGGTGACACCCGCCCCTGGGCCGCAGTGGCCCTCCCTGGCCTCACAGGACATCCCGTAACACCAGCTTCCAAACAGGAACCACCCTCAGCTGCTTCCCCGGGCTGCGGCCCAGCGCGGGTGGGCTGGGACTGTGTCCTGCTCGCACTGCACGAGGAAGTCAGTGCCCGGCGTCCTAGTCCTCTGCTGGGTCCGCGGCCCCGCGACAGGTGTCTGCAGGGTTGGATTTAGTCTGGACTGTCGGGCTCCTCGCACCCCGTGGTGGCAAGTCTGCCCTTTCTCCACTGACAGCTTGTGCCCGCGGCGAGCGCCTGATCTCTGCGTCATTTCCTGGAATCTGCTCCACTGAGGCCCTGGTAGCGCCTGGGTGTCAGAGACCCCGGGGAGACACATCCCCAGGGGCGGGGCTCCAGGGGAGGCCGGGAGTGGGCGGGGCTCCAAGCTGGTGGGAATCGGGCGGGGCTTCCAGACTCCGCCTCACGGGCGGGGCTTACGGGAAGGGGCGGGGCTGGGGTTGGCGCCGCCTGGCGGTGGGGCCTCGTGGGGCTCCGGGCGTTTGGCTGCAGGTGCCCGGGGCCTGGCGCCCGCTTTCCAGGCGCCCCTCAGCCTGGTCTCGGTCTCCGCTCAGTCCGTCGTCTGGAGGAGGGCAGGGGCCCCTCCCTCCGTCTCCGCCCCTCCGTCTCCGTCCAGGGCCCTGTGTGAATCCTCGTCCTCATTCCTCTCTCACAGGAGCGTCTGCTCTGGGGCGCGTCCCGCAGTCAGGCCTCCGAGGGTGAGGACCCACCGAACAGGTCAAACCTGTTCCCCCGGGATTTGTCCTGGGTCACTGGAAGGGGAGGCGGAGCGCAGGTGTAGACACATAAAGTGAATTCTGGGGCGTTGCCAATATCCTCTGCCGAACTGGCCGAAAATAATAGAGCTCCCACGTCTACCTTGTGATGCGGGACAGTCTGAAAAGGTGCTTTTTCTGCAGGAGCCCGGGTGCTGGGAAAGGTGCTCACTGCTGCCCCTTCTCCCCGGTGCCCACTTACGTCCCCTGACCCCCAAGCTGTCCTCGCGGTTCCGTACATCCGTTCTCCAACATGGCCACCCCCATGACTGCGAGCGTTGGACGCAGACATATTGCCTCTTGCGGACGTCCGGGCATGCACTTGTCTGTCCGTACAGGACCTTTGGGTCTCTCCGGCCACCGTAGGAGCGTCCTCCGTCAGGGTCTTCTTGGTCATCTGACTGAGCCCCGGAACTGTGGAGTTCGGCCCGGCGGTGGGTGTTGGGGCGTCGGTCAGTGCGCGGGTTGGAGCCTGAAGTTGGCTTTTGACAGTGGGGGTTTTTGTTGTGATGCGGACACCGGGGCGCGCTTGGTCCGGAGGTGGGATCGGGGGAGTCGGGCGGCAGCGAACCTGAGGCGTTTAGGCGGCGGCGCCTGAAGGGGTTTTTGGGGTCCCGGAAGCTGGTGTGCGGGGATGGGGCTCCCAGGGACCCCACGGGGCTGGAGGGCGTAGAGGGTGATCGCCTGTGGGGCCTGGCCACACCGTCGGGCTTTGGCCTTAGCGTCCTCCTCCCCCTCCCTAGGCCCCTTTTGAGTCCGGGTGTCTCCACCGCAAGTGTGAAGTAGTTACACGGGAGAAACACGTCTCGGGGAGGATGGCCTCCCTGGTGCTGCCAGGGGTTAAGCAGCAGCACTCTGAAGCCATCTGCAGCCACTGCAGCACAAGTTCTATACCCGGCCAGGGAGCTGCCCACACGGCGCAGATCTTAACTGACTCGCCCGCTGCTCCCTCCAGCAGGGTATTTTAGATCTGCCTGTTCTGCTCCCCACTCTATCTTTGGGAATTGTTACGCACCCCCGCCTCTGGCCTGCAGCCCAGCTCTTGTATGCATAAATAAATCTTTAAAAAGAAAAAAAAAGAGTAGAAGCACCTCTGGGTAAAATGAGGAGGAGGGGCAAGTGGAAGAGGGTCCAGCCGGTGGGTGGCAGGACCCCGTCAATCATTGGCCTCTCCTTCCCCCTTCACCTCCTGCGCTACCTGTGAGGCAGGCTGTCGCTAGTCAGGGGTGGCTCTTCCACACAGTAGAGAGCAGCCCTGGCCTTTGAGGGGAGAGTCATCTCTTCCTGAGCCTCACCTGTGAAAGCCTAGGGGGAGCAGGAGGAGCCCTGGTCTGGCTCACAGAGCCAGGAGGGGCGGCCTCCCCTCACCTGCAGAGCAGGGTTGTCCACTGGGTGCAAGTGCCTGGGCTGAAGGCCTGGGCCGGCTTCCTCGCCTGTCCAGGGTGGCCGAGAAGACACCACAGGGTTACTGCTAGGGGCTCGCATAGCAGGGAGCCGGCCGAGTTTGGGGAGCAGGGAGACAGTGGCAGTGCAGAAGGCTGCTGGAGGGCGCCTTCAGATAGTGGGGGCCCGGGCCCCTCGTGGTCAGCGGCTCTTTCCTCATTTCCTGGGAATTACTCAGGCCTCCCAGGTTTTCTGTCACTGCTGTGGCAGCCTCAGGGCAGTGGCGTTTCCATTTCCTTTTTTTTTTTTTTACAGATTTATGTATTTATGCATAGAAGAGTTGGGATGCAGGCCAGAGGTACAGGAGTGGGGTGAGTGGATTCACCAGAGACAGAGTGGGGAGAGAACAGGCAGACTGACTGAAATCCACTGCTGAGGGGAGCAGCGGGGAGACAGGAGAGGTCTGCTGCCCCATGTGGCTCAGCTCCCTGGCCTCCCTGGGAAGCAGTGGCGCCCTCGTGTGGCCGCAGGTGGGAGCCGCCCCTCCAAGGCGGGCAGAGCACTAATCAAAGGGACCTTTTCATCTTATGCCTTTCAAAATAGTAGCTGTCTCTTATTTTTTCAGAGCTCGGTTGGAGGAAGAGGAAACTTGATTCCTCGTTGCTCTTTAACATCGATTTTTAAAAAATGCTTATTGAGGTAACGCTGATCTTCAACCCTGTTTTAGGGGTGTAGGGTCACCCGTCTGTGAATGTTATTACACCAGGCCCACCACTGAACCCCCTCCTCCTCTGCTGCCCCCACCGTGCCGCCCCTTCTGGTAGCCTTGGTTCTGTAGCCAGATTTCGTGCTTTCTTCCAGTTTTTTTTTTTTTTTTTTTAAAGATTTATTTATCTATTCAAGAACTGGGGTACAGGCCAGATGCGTGGGAAGGGGAGAGGATTCACCAGAGACAGAGCAGGGAACAGGACAGGCAGACCGACGAAATACTGCTGTGGGGAGCAGCGGGCAAGACAGGAGACGTCTGCTAGCCATGTGGGACCCTCGCCGGCAGGCCGGGATCGAACCGCAGGCTGCAAACAGCTTCACAGCTCTGCGCTTTACTGCCTGCGCCACTGGGGAGGCCCACTTTTTTTTTTTTTAATATAACATGCTAAAGGAGCAGATGCGCTTATGTACACCAGTAAGCAGTAAAACAAACCAGTCAATCAAATGGTGTTTTCTCAGATCCTTATTTAATCCTATTCCCACTCACTCCCCGTGCAATCTATGATATTCAGGAACTTAATGTCAACATGTCAAACTGGAACAAGAATTTTTGGGTACGCAATTGTTATTTTGTGAAATTTGAAAATCATTTATTCTATGAACATACAACAAATACAAACATCTGGGAACTTAATTTCCTGCTCTGATGATACACTTTTTATCCTTTGTGTGTGAAACTGATCTATCTTCAGACCTGATCCATACACGTGGTAATGGCACCAGATGAGAAATTTTATTATTATAAAGTTGTTTGTTTGGAAACCATTTTCCTTACCTTCTGGGCACTCTACTAATTCTCCTTAGAAAACGGTATTTGAGGGCTTCCCTGGTGGGGTGGGGGATTAAATCTCAGCACTGTGAGGCTATCGGCGGCCACTGCAGCACCACTTCGATCCCTGGCCAGGGAAGTGACCCATATGGCACAGCAGACCTCTCCTGTCTCCCTGTTGCTCCCCTCAGCAGTGTATTTCAGTAGATGCACCTGCTCTGCTCCCCGCTCTGTCTCTGGTGAATCCTCTCAACACCTCACACCCCCACACCTCTGGCCTACACCTCAGCTCTTGTATGCATGGATAAATAAATCTTTAAAAAAACGTTATTTGCTGCACAGTAAGTTTAGGTGTCATCCCAAAGGCCTCCTTTATTACAGCTCTTGTCACCTGTATCATGCAGTACAAACACCCATTTGTTTGGAAATGATCCCAGTGTTCCCTACATCCCGGAGTTTTTTCCTCCGTGAAAAAGTTCCCCCAGAACTTTCCTTTCTGTCTAGTATAGATCTGGATTTCTCAAGAAAAGATGACTTTTTGGACTCATTCCTATTGCCTTTCTCTTGTGAAATGAGATGACATTGGTTGGACAGCATTCTTTTATTCACTGTACCTCAGAGGGTCCACTACTAGGTAAATGCACAGAGAGTTACAGAGCCCAGAATGAACAGAAATCACCCTAATTTTCATTGTCTTCACAGGGTCTTTCCTGGAAGAACTGGGCATCGCCCAGGCATCTTCCCAGCACTCACTGTGCTCCTGAGGCTTCTTGCCTGCGTAAATCTTCTGATGGGAAGCAAGAAAGAACTTGATGGAGAATGTTTTCCCACACATGCTACATCGCTAAGTTTTCTGCTCTGCATGACTTCTCTTGTGGATGCGGAGGTAGGATTTCTCAAAAAAGGCCTTCCTGCACTGAGCACTCTTGTGGGGACTCTCTCCCGTGTGATGTCTCTGATGTCTATTGAGCTGGACTTCTTTTTTTTTTTTTTTATAAAGATTTACTTATTTATTTATGCATACAAGAACTGGGGTACAGGCCAGAAGTGCGGGGTGGGCGTAAGAGGATTCACCAGAGACAGAGTGGGAAGCAGAACTGGCAGACTGACTGAAATACACTGTTGAGGGGTGCAGCGGGGAGACAGGCGAGGTCTGCTGTGCCCTGTGGGTCATTCCCTGTCCTGTGGGCCAGGGATTGAACTCAGGCTGTAGTGGCTGCAGACAGCTTCATAGTGCTGCGACTATAGGCACCCCCAGGGAGGCCCTATCTGTGACTTTTGTTTGAAGATCTCGCCTCAGGGGATGTACCCGTAGGGTTTCTCTCCAGTGTGGCATTGCTGATGGGTAATAAGGTGGGCTCTTTTGGCGCAAAGCTTCGCCACATTTATCAGATCCATGGGGCTTCTCTCCATGTGAACCAGTTGGTACCTTCTGAGCACTGCTGTACCGCTAAAGGCATTCTGGCATTCAAGGCATACAGAGGGCCTCTCCCCTGTGTGAATTCTTTGATGTATGATGGGCATGGCCTTGCGAATGAAAGCTTTCCCACATTCTTTGCATTCGTGTGGTTTTTCCCCCGTATGAGTTCTGTGATGGACAGTGAGGTGTGACTTGTCTATAAAACCTTTTCCACAGTCCCTGCACTCATACAGTTTCTCTCCTGTGTGAGTTGTCCAGTGAACAGTAAGCTGGGAGTTATCTATAAAAGTGTTTCCACATTCTTTGCACTCATAGGGCTTCTTTCCTGTGCAAATTCTCTGATGTGTTACGAAGTGTGATTTTTTTATTAAAGGCTTTCCCATTATCCCTGCATGCTTAAGGTCTTTGCACTGTATGATTTCTCTGGTGCAGGATGAGCTGTGATGTGTGTACAAAAACTTTTCCACTTTCACTGCGGGCGTAAGTTTTCTCTCCTACATGACTCCTCCGATGTCTTAGGAGGTGTAAGTTTTTACGAAAGAATTCCCCACATTCCACACATGCATAAGCTATTTCTCCTGTATGAATTCGCTGATGAACAAGCTGAGACCACAGAAAGCCTTTGCATGTTCTCTACATTCGTAGGGTTTCTCTCCTGTGTGAATCCTTTGATGGGTGTTCAGGTTTGATTTGTGCATAAAACCTTTCTCACATTCCCTGCACTCGAAAGTTTCTCTCCTATATGCTCCCTGTGATGTAATCTGAGCTTGTCTTCTCCCTGTAAGCTTTCCCACATTCTCTGCATTCATAGGGTTTCTCTCCTGTGTGAGTCCTGGGGTGCAGGACGAGGTGATCCTTTGTCCTGAAGGCTCTGTGACATTCCGCACATCCATTCGGCTTCTCTCTGTGTGAGTTCTCTGGTGGGTTACGCACTTTGACTTGTACCTGAAGGATTTTGGACACTCACGGCATTCATAAGGCTTCCCTTCCTGTGAGTTCTGGGGTTTCTTTTAAGATTTGTCACCACACATAAATTATGTCCATAGTATGGGGCTTGAGAGTGGGAAGCTTCATGCGCAGTCTGGAAAACTGACCGCTGAACTCATCAGAAGTCATTTCTCTATCGTCTTAACTCTGAAAACTTGATTCTGAACCTCGATGCAAACTTATTCCTCCCAGGACATACTTGTAGGGTCTTTCTATAAATGGATCGAACTTTTTTGCTCAGATACAGCCTCCAGAATCCAGTAAAAGTCTCAGGAATCCAAGAGAAACTAGAGAATAGGTAATGAGCTGCTGCGAGCCACCTGATTTTCTATCGATCCCGCTGCGTTCTCCCGGGGATTTGATTGACCTTTGGAGATTTCTCTCACCTCAGTTTAAGTCAGACAGAGGCACCCGCCTACGGCAGCCGAGGAGGGACCAGGCCGTCCCAGCGCCGCAGGCACTGCCGTACATCCAGGTGGCGGCTTTGCCTCCCGAGACAATATGGCGGCGCCCTCCCCTGGGGCAGCCATCTTTGAATATTTACAGTGCAGATTGCAGAGGTGTTTTGGCGCCGCTGAACAGGATGGCTCCAGGTAGTGAAGAGACACTTAGGGGTTCTCTCACCTAGCACCTCAACCCTTCTGTGGCGGGGCTGGAGGGGTGGCTAACACAAGGCAAACATTCTTCCACCGAGACCAAGTTGGAATTTCAAGAGTGAGTACCGCAGAGAACAATGCTCCCGAGAAAGGGAAAAGAATAGACCCTGCCTTTCAGCCTGTGAGGTTACATTTAGGTCTGAGTGAGGGTCAACATAACAGGTTCAAATCTGCTGGGGTAACAGTATGTCCTGAATGAACTCCACCCCCATCTCCAAGCCAAAGAGACGCCAGGTGCCAGGAACTACAACTCCCGGCATGCCGTGGAGCTGCTGTGACTCTTGACCTTCTCCCGGGGCTGCTGTTGGGAACTAAGGGTGGATTTCAGCAGCCGCGCTTGGAATAAAAACCCAACGCAGGTAGGATTTGGCTTTTTTTTTTTTTGGCTTTTCCTGTTTTCAGGGAGCACCCACGATCTCGGCACAGAAGGTGTTACTGGTAGGACACATTGACCTGTGTGTGTGTGTGTGTGTGTGTTTTCTCCCTCTTCTCATTTCCTTTGTAAGTGAACGTCTTTAAAAAAAAAAATTTATGCATACAAGAACTGGGGTTTAGGCCAGAGGTGTGGGGAGTGAGAGGTGGGGGGGTGTCAAACAGTGGGGAGCAGAACAGGCAGATCGGCTGAAATCCACTGCCGAGGGGAGCAGTGGGGAGACAGGAGAGGTCTACTGTGGGTCATCTCCCTGGCTGGGGATCTAACTCATGTTGCAGTGGCTGGTGATGGCTTGATAGTGCTGAAACTTTAACCGCTGCACCACCAGGGAGTTCCCCTGTCAGTTTTCTCTGTGTGCCTTGCCCTTAGCCCACGGGTGAGGACTCACAGCCAGGTTTCCCCTTTTGGCTTGGGGTTGTCCTGTAACCTATCCAATGACACCTTTTGTTTCAAGGCCTATTTGGGAAACACCAAATGTGGACATTTGAAATTGTGGTCTATGAAATAACTGGTCGTATGAGACATGGTAGCATCAGCAACACCACAGCAGCAGGCCACTTTTTTGACCATAGGAACAAACCATGTTAACCAATCAAGTGGTATCAGGGCTCAAAATAATACTTAAATTTCCATCTTCTTATATGAGGGATCATCTCAAAAATGATTAGGATTCAAGGGGTATAAAGTCTGTATGTGGTCTTCTTCAACCCTTAAATAGCTGGCTGGTTTAGAAGAAACCAACTTCTTTAGAAAGATGATAGCCTCACTCAAGTTCATTCAGTCTAAAATAACTTGTGTCATGCACCATTATTTTATGTACCAAGCTTTCCAAGCCCCAAAGTATGCCACATTTTCATTTCACTGTTGATATGGGGAGAAATGTTTCCATTTTTGAAGGAAAACAAGTTTTACTCAAGAGCTCAAAATCTTCCAGGCATGATAGTAAACAGACTGTCAGGGGGGTCTCAGCATTTTGTTAAATTTCTTATCAAAATATTGAACCACATTGTTCAATTACAATTTCGGTTTGTGTCATATTCAATCACGTAGTGACATAAGATTCAGTGCACATATCCTGTGGGCAGGCTCCATGTACATTAAGCACATAGACTGGGGGTGACAGTTGCTAAGCCAGCTCATGCAGTTCCCAGATATGAACAACCATTATCATAAAAATAGGTATAAAACAGTTAAGTATTTTCACATCGTTCTGATATATTTGCTTTGTCTTCCGACAGAGGTATAGATGTCCATCTTTATTTTTTTCCTAAAGATTTATTTATTTATACAAGAACTGGGGTATAGGCCAGATGTGCAGGAGGGCGAGAGGATTCACCAGAGACAGAGCGGGGAACAGAATAGGCAGACTGACTGAAATACACTGCTGAGGGGAGCAGCAGGCGAGACAGGAGAGGTCTGCACACCAGGTGGGTATCTCCACGGCCAGCCGGGATCGAACCCGCACTACAGAGGCTGAAGACAGCTTCACACTGCTGCGCTCAACCGCCTGTGCCATCAGGGAGGCCCTGGATTTACACCTTTAGTACTGTCTGTAATCTCTGATGCTTTCCATAATCTATTATTTCACAGTAACAGAAAAAAATGCCCTTCAAGCAGTGACACTGCATGAAAGCCAGATCCCCCAGATTCCTTGAAGGAATTCCTTCAGTGTCAATTCTGTGATGCGAAGGTAGCTGCATTTCGTGCCAACAACCCCACAGTCGATACATGCCAGGCTGTCCCTTCCTGTCAGCCCCCTCAGGGCCACACTCAGTGGAAACCTGTTGAAAAAAGTGTTTCCCCTTGTCCAGCATTCTTCCAGCAGCATTCTCTGGTAAGTGTGGGTTTGAAAAGAAAGTGTGTCCCCCTCGATGACAACTTTTGGATATCAGCTTCCTTCATTTCTCCCCTCCATAGGTTTTCTGATGTAAAATGAGGCTGAACTTGTGGGAGTATCTTTTCTGACACTCATTGCATCCATAAGGTTTCTCGCCTGTGTGAATTCTTTGATGGATAATAAGATGGGACTTCTGGGCAAATGATTTCTGACATTTGCTGCATTCGTGGGGCTTCTCTCCAGTATGTGTTTTCTGGTGTAAAACAAGGCTAAATTTAATAGGGAGAGTTTCCCGCACACATCACACTCAGGCTTTCTCTCCTGTGTGGATTTGCTGGTGAATAGTGAGGCTAAGCTTGTGGGAGAAGGTTTTTCCACATTCTAGGCATTGGTAAGGCTTTTCTCCCGAGTGACTCCTCTTGTGGACCAGGAGGTAGGACTTCCGGCTGAAGGCTTTGTGACACTCACTGCATTCGTAAGGTTTCTCTCCAGTGTGAGACCGCTGGTGGATAGTCAGGTGTGACTTCTGGGTGAAGTTTTTCCCACACTGGCTGCATTCATAGGGCTTCTCACCAGTGTGAGTTCTTTGGTGGAGGATGAGGTTAAACTTGATGGAGAACATTTTCCCACATTCGTTGCACCCAAAGGGTTTTTCTCCTGTGTGCATCCTCCAGTGAGTATTGAGGAGAGACTTGACACTGAAGCCTTTGCCACACTCGCTACACTTATAAGGTTTCTCTCCAGTGTGAGTCCTCTGGTGTCTGCTTAGCTCAGATCTTTGGATGAAGGCTTTCCCACATTCACTGCACCGGTAAGGCTTTTCTCCTGTGTGAGTTTTTTGATGTAAAATGAGGCTAAATTTAAGGGGAAATGTTTTCCCACACTCATCGCAGCCGTAGGGCCTCTCGCCTGTGTGAGATCGCTGGTGCATGATGAGCCGTGACTTACTGCCGAAGCTTTTGTGACATTCGCCACATTCGTAGCGTTTCTCTCCTGTGTGAGTTCTTTGATGTGAAGTGAGTTGTGGCTCATTGCTGAATCCCCCCTCACACACAGAGGACTCAAGCCCTTTCTGTCCTGTGTGTCTTCCCTGGTGTTTATTAAGGCATGGCTTGTCTGGAAAAGCCTCCGCACCTCTGTCACGCTCGTCCAGTTTCTCTCCTGTATGGGTTCTCTGGTGGGACTTTCTGCCGAAGCCTTCCTGACATCTGCCGCACCCATAGGGTCTCTTGCCTGTGTGTGTTCTCTGACTCTTTGTGAGGTCTGGCTTCTGTGGAAAGGCCTCCCTGCAGTTGCCGTGGTCACAGTGTTTCTCTCCTGTTGGAGTTTTCCAGTGTTTAATAATATGTGACTTCCGGTTGAAAGCCTTTACCCATTCATTATACTCACTGTGGCTTTCTCCAGTATGTATGTCCTCATCCTTCGTATAAACAAATAATGTGTCTTGTCCATTAAATTCAGCTTCATCTCTGACATCCCTTTGATTCTGAATAATGTATTCTAAGTGAGGTTCTGGATGTTTCCCAAGCGAGCCAAGTGCATGAGGTCTTTGTGCTAAGGAAACACAGAGGTTTAAGCTCAGATAAGATATTTTTCCAAATATATTATTTTTGTGCTGACTCTCCAGCATGCCTTCGACTTGTGAGTGCTAGTCTGTATGATTAGCAACTTGCCCGGTATCTTCTAGAAAGGAGACCCATTAATGAACAATAACCATGTAGCAGAAGGAGTAGAGAAAAGGGGAGAAGAGAAAAGAAGATGATGGGTATAGAACAAAAGTCTGAGACATTCATAAGTGGAAGGAGAGGAAAAAAATGGAATAAACTACCAGAGGTATGAGAGGTACAAAATGAGAAGGGGGGAAAATTCATGAACATCCAAGCATGCAAGAAAAGAGAACTGGAGGCCTGGGGACAGGAAGAAAGCAGGAAAACTGAGAAGGCCAGGAGAAAGATGAATTAAGAGAGCAGGTTTTAAGATGAACTGGGGAGGGATCTGATCAGCTACATAAGAGAAGGCAATGTATTCTTTGAAAAAACAAAGAATTTCTAATACGGAGAGATTAAAAACAGAGTCGACATTAGTGGGAACTGATGTCAGCTGTTCTGTGTCACATTCAGAGTTGAAAAACTTCTAGATTTCCCCTGACATTTCAGAGGTGCCGCCCTGTGTCTGAGCAGCTGGTATGTCTTTGCATCTTCCTCCGAGTAGAGTAGTTGTTGCTCACTCACCTGGATGAATCTGGCTGTGGGCTTCCCCCTCTGTTGTCCTTGATGCTTCCTGCTCCGTGGGGTAGAAAGCGGGGTAGAAAGCGTCTGCTTTGGTAACTTGATACCCTACTAAAGGAAAAGATAGAGACATGTGACACCCCCCCCCCCCCAACCCCCCCCTCCCGTCCCATCCCGTCCCGTCTGCAGGGCCTCTGACAGATGGGGAAGATATTACACGTAAAAGGCTGCTGGACAGCTTGCACCTTGGCCAAGTAGAGGCTTTTTACTTTGGAGATGAGCGAAAGACTGTTGGAGGCAGAAGGGTGCTGACACCTCTGCTGTATCAAACTCCTGGCTAAAACTTGAGGCACTTGATAGGCCCCACCTCCTTCACTGCTGAGAAAGGATGGGCAGTGGATGGCCTGATGGCCTGTGTCACCAGGGGAACTGCTTACCCACTGACACTAGGTTGCTATAATTTTCCCACATCACATCTTGGTACAGGTTCCTCTGAATGGGGTCCAGTAGCTGCCACTCCTCCCAGGTGAAAACCACAGACACATCCTTGAATGACAGCGCGTCCTGTAACAGAAGGTCACCCTCTGCAGAGATTCTCTCTGGTAAATGGAAATTCCTTAGAATAAATTTTCCCACGGTAAGTCATTTGCCTGCTTTTGGTGTACTGGTTTTACATCATGCTTGGTAGGAAGAACTGATTTTTAACTTAAAATATCAGATATTTGTGCTTCTGTCCAGTCGTTCGATACACACATGATAGCCTTTTCAGAAACCCTCATGATTACAGATGTGCCCACACAATGGTAGGATGACAGTGGAAAACATGATTTTGCATATTTGTATCTTGCACATTCTTTGCAATGAGCATGCATTACATTAGAAAACAATTTAAAAAAGAAAACAATACGAAGATTTAGGATAGAAGGCAATGAGGTAGATGGAACAAAGAGTCACTGGAATGGCAGAAATTAAGAAGTTGGAAGATACCACGTGATGCAAAAATCACCTGCAAGGATTTGGAAAAATCAGATACAGTGGTTTAAACCTATGCAACCTCACTATAATAAATAAAGTTTTCTGAAAAAGGACAGTGAGAGGTGGAAGTACTTTGGAAAGCAACATTGCAATACCGGACAATTTCGGATACACCCTCACTTCCACCTAACAATTGTATTTCCCAAGAAATACTAACCCATGTGCTAAAAGTAAAAGTGTCCATGCAAATTGTTAATCATTTGTATATTAGTGAAATGGGGCGCTATCAGAATTTCCCTCTAAATTCTCATATTTGTCTCTTCATGTTGGATCTGGTATAGAGTGCGCTCACAAATACTTCTAGTCTATGTATTATTATTATTATTATTATTTTTGAAAGATTTATTTATTTTTATACAAAAGCTGGGGTATAGGCCAGAGGTGCAGGAGGGTGAGAGGACTCACCAGAGACAGAGCAGGGAGTAGAACAGGCAGATGGACCGAAATACACTGCTGAGAGGAGCAGTGGGCGAGGCAGGAGCGGTCTGCTCCACCATGTGGGAATCTCCCCTGCTGGCCGGGAATTGAACCCGTGCTGTAGAGGCTGTGGACAGCTTCACAGCACTGCACTCAACCCGCTGTGCCACCGGGGTGGCCCTAGTCTATGTATTATAAAAGCCCCTCAAATCCATTGGGGAGCCAGTGGGAAGCATAAACAGCCCCTCACCTGGGACTTGGACATTTTCCGGAGTCCTGGCATACAGCCACTCTTAACATCTGCTCTTCTGTTGACCCCAGCTCTTCTGGAAAGTTCTAGCATGAGGTCTCTGGCGAGGAAGAAGTGTTGATCTTGATGTCTCCACATTTCTGTCCCAGGAAGCCAGGCAATTACAGAATTTCACTGCTGTAATAAACAGTAACTGCGTGCATAACAGATTTTTCTGCAAGTCCTTAGGGGTGTGTGTGTGTGTGTGTGTGTGTGATTGTGTGTGTGAGAGGGAGACCCACAGATAGAAATATTGAAAAAAAATTTTAATTTTTAAATTTTATTTATATATTTTTCACATAATTGTTCATTTTTAAAGTGTTTGCTTCCCCGCCACTCTCTCAAGTGTAGTCCCCACAGAATTTCCTTTAATGCACCTGTGCACCATCACCATAGTGCACTGTGCTCTTCCCCCCTTCCCTCTGATTCATCTCCCTCCTCCTTCCCTGTGGGATGCCTGAAATCTCGAAAATTTTAACTATTTTCTTCAGGTGGTAGGTTAATACGTAGTCTGAAGATAAAAAAGTCCTATGTATTACCTGATGGTTTATTTTACAGTCATTATTTTATAATAAACACAGAAAACAAAGCTATTTTCATTCAATTTTTGTAATTTTACCAAAACTGTGGTCAAGGCTCCAAACTAAATGTACATTTAAAGAAAGATAATTATAAAACAAAAGAGGAAAAAGTCACAAGAATTATTTTAAAGCCTATAATATCCAGGAACACAGGTGTAAGTACTGCTTATGCTTACTAAGCTATCTTGGGTTACTACTAAGTGCTAGTACTTTAATTATATGAGAAGGTCATAGTGATTTATTTTTTTAGATGAATGGGAAGAGAATCTCAAAGAGGTTGAGAAACGTGCCCAGGTCCACATAGTAAGAGGCAGAATATGGATAAAAACATATGTCTACCCAAGTCCAAAGTCCATGTTCTTTTCCCTCAGTCCAGCTTACCTTAGATGATCTGACACAGCTCACCGGGGAGACCTACAAGAGCCAATTGAAAGACATCAGTAATAATAATAGCTCAGTACGAAATGAAGGAGAAATTGTTTTTTTTTTTTTTTTTTTTAATAGAGGCATGTTTTATTTATTCATTTATTTGTTTGTTTGTTTTGTTTATACATGCACTGGGTACAGTCAGACGCACGGGAGGGTGAGAGAATTCACCAGCGCCAGAGCAGGGAGCAGAGCAGGCAGAAGGACCGAAGTACACTGCTGAGGGGAGCAGCGGGCGGCAGGAGAGGTCTGCGCGCCATGTGGGACCCTCCTCCGGAGGCCGGGGAGCAGCCGGGGATCGAACCGGCGCCACAGAGGCCGCGGGCAGCTTCGCAACCCAGCGCTCAACCGCTGCGCCACCGGGGAGGCCCTGAAGGAGAAATTGTTTTTAAGATGAGTGACGTGTATACCTGCCAGAAAATCCTTAACAATGAAAAAAGTTCAAAGGAAAAAGAAGCTGTTTGCAGTGGTAGCAAACATAGACGAGATATAGGAATATGCCCAGACTTAGATGAATATTTTAATAGGCCACGTCTCCCCAGATTATTGCAAAGACTGAATGTAACTTTAGCCAGCACTGCGAGGAAATTGACATTATAAATACTATGAAGACATCAACAAGATTTTGTACCAAAAGTCAGTACTACTGGAACAACTTTATCCATATCAGGTTAAGTTTCTGTAAAAAGTAAATTATAAACTATGTAGGCAACATGATCACATCTTTGCCTTAAAAGTAATCACAGAAGAGTATGGAAAAGAACATACATTGAAATGTCTCTTAATATCAGAGGGACCCGAAAGGGAAGACCCCAGAGAGAGAAATTTGAAGACTAGGAGGCCAGACAGACACCACATCTTTGCTGGTAATGGTAAGTCTTCTACTGCAGATTTTCTTAGACCTTGATCTTTTCTAAGCATTTTCATTTTTGTGGTTCTTCCAGGGACCTTGTGACTGGACCGTCCATCACTGACCTCCACCCCTGGACACTCCAATCGAGGATCCCTCTCAAGGCTCCCAGCTGCTGCTTTGTGCCCAAGGATTCCCGTGATGGGGCGACATCCCTCCCGCCAGGGCTGTCACTCGAGAGCCGATTTTCCCCCAAAAGACGTTTGGAAGGACCGACACCAGCTCAGACACCCCAGTTTGTGACATCCTTCAAGCATACCCCAATCACTGGCTTGCTATCATTCCACCAGAATGCTAAGCTATGCCCAAGCATCCCACACTCACTGATCCCCCACTCCCACTGTAACAGGGTGGTCCCCAGGAAAGGGGGAGGTTCCAGGTTCCCTGCCCCACCCAGGGGAGGGTGGGGCTGAGCAGGGAGAGAAGAAGCTGCAGAGGAGACTGAGGAAGGAAGGAAGCAGGATGGAGCCAGAAGGAGATCCGGAGGAGGCGCATGGAGCCTAGAGACTCGTGAAGAAACTGCGCTTGTCTTTTGGTTGTGGACGGGGTGACACAGATGTGGGTGAGACCCGTGGGGAGGTGACAATGGCAGCTTTTATTTTGATTTTAATTTTGCTCTTTTCCTTCCGGGCTTGTCTGGTTGTTTCTAACCCTTTTCTGTGGGTCCCCACTGGAAGATGCTTTAGACTTGGGGCAGGCTTTGGGGCCTTGCTCTGGGCCAATACCATTTGGATGGAGTTTTACCCACGAGGGGATGGGTAACTTTGGGTGCTTGATTTAGAAACTAGATTCTTTTTCTTTCCTGTCTTGTTTCCAAATTGTATTAAAGTTCCTTCCCATTAAAGTCTCATATGTTTTGTGTTGAGTCTGCGGATGGCAGAACCCATTTAGAATAGGCAAGTTTGCAGGGGTTTGGGCTGCCTCTCTCCCTGCCCTGTAACACCACTGACACCCAGTGGTGGATCTGCCTCCCATGCCTCCCAGGCCCGCCCTCCCCTCCCAACGCCGCTAGGCCTCACGGAGCCCAATCCAGGGCCTCCCAGCCCTGGGCACGCCCCCTCCCACAGCGGCTTGCTCCCCTCGTGCACTCCCACAGCCATTCCCTAGCACAGGCCCCCAAATTCTACAAACCCAGCTCAACCTGATTCCGCTTCCTAACGCAAAACTAGGACCCCTTGAAGCATCCTGCCTGAAAGGTCCATGCCGCAGGCCGGAATGCGGATACCTGCCTGGAGGACTCAGACAATGAGCCGCCCCCCTCCCCCTACGAGTCTCCATCTCAGACAAAGAACCTCTACCTGCCCTACAAACTTTTCCCGCCGTATGAGCCCAACTACCCACCTGACCTCTCCTCACCCTATAAAACCCTGCTTCCCCCTAACAACGTGCGCGACTCCACGGACCCCCGCCTTGGGTCTGTGAGGTCCACCCGGGGCGCAATAAACTTTCCCTCCCTTTGAGAAATGTAGCCTGGCTCTCCTTTTCTTTACCGCGCCGAACCTTTCACTGCCCTCACCGCCTGGGCGGGTGGAAAGAACCACCGTCCATCATTCTACTTCAGACTAACAAACCCGACGGTTCCACCTCACTGGTTAAGCTCAGCCCCTTGTAGCATCCGAGGATGCAGGCGGTCAACCATCGCCCCGGGCGTACTAGTGGAGGCTCCGTTTGTGTTTCCGGTGGTTTAGACAAAGACACTCAGGAAGTATGGCGGCGCCCTGTTAGCTGTCACGTGGGAGCCACCATCTTAGAAAATTTTTCCGTACAATTGTTTTACCGCCCAAAGCTCAGTGCGCATGCGCTCTCTGGAGCCCACGTGATCTGGGGCGTCTCCTTTTCCGTACGCGTATCAAGCCCAAAGATGGCCGCCTCTGCAGGTCACCGACCTTGGGCAGCGCATTACGGTACAATGGGTGCGGCCATTTTGGAAGAGATGCATGTATCCGTACCATTGGCCGCATAGTTTTTGGCTTCTCTGCTATGGGGTGCTGGGTTCACGTGTCCCAGTATTGCCCAATATTGCCCTTCTGACGTACTGCCAATAAACCAGAGATCACCACTGCATCACAGCCCCAGTGAAGCGTGTGGTGTGCCGTTTGCCTTCGGCGCCATTGTGGTGGGCGCCGGCTCCGCCCTACTCCCTGTGGCCCACTCATTGGCTGCAGAGTCCGCACGTTCTATGAGATCCTTGAGGGTCCTAGGGAGCCAAGGTTGTTAAGGAGGGAGGTCAGGGCCAGCGCCTAAAAATTTCTTAGGTACCGGGACCAGGTGCAATCAATTAGGGACTGATTTGATTAGGGGTAAAATGAATTCCACCTGCAACTTGGAAGCTCAAAATTTTTGAGCCCTGCTCCTGACCTCCCTCCTTAACAACTTTGGCTCCCTATTACCCTCAAGGATTTCATAGAATGTGCAGACTCTGCAGCTAGAGATCCAATTCCCCCATTCGCCTTCTCCACTCTGTGTGAGCAGACCCCACGCAGGCCCTGAAAACTGGCTGCCTGGAAAGGATTCCTGGGACTCTGCATACCCAGAGTGTGGCCAAGGAGCAAGGAGGACGGCCCTGGGAGCCCAGGCTTCTTCCCTTCTAGGGAGGAGCACAGCTGGAAGAGGGTCCTTCAAGAATCATTACTCAGGGGGGCCTGAGCCTGCAGCACCAACATCCTTTAGGAACTTGTAGAAATGCAGATTGCCAGGCCGGGCCCCAGACTGATCCACAAATTCTGCGGCAGGGCAGCAGCAGCCTGAGTTTTAAGAAGCCCTTCAGGTGGTCCAGACGCTTGCTGAGACCTCAGTTTCACAGATTCAGACACTAGGCTCAGAGAGGTGAAGTAACGCGCCCGCGGTCACTCAGCACGCGTCAGAATCAAGGACTGAATGGAAGGACGCCTGCCTCCTGACTGCGCGTGCATCTTACTGTTACAGGGCAGCCCCGAGATGGAACCGGTTGCCCGGCTGTGGGTCCCCACCCGCGCGCTTACAAGGGACTTATGAATACTCCACTGCAGGCGCACACAACAGGTTCATAAAAGGTTTATTTACAAGGGAAAAGGAAAGAAGGAAAATGGACAACGCAGGGAGAAAATAGGGAAATAAAGTCTTTAATGCGTCCTACCCGATCCGATGATCTGGAAACCCAAAAAGCACTCTCCGAGCTGACTGGACGCTGCGAGCTGGTGGAGAGCCAAAATGGGGGACCCCCGAAGCCCACGTGTCTGGCTTTATATCACCAACCTGGCTGCTTAACCCCACCCTCAGGTCCCAGCCACCTTCCCTTGGGTGGTGACGGGATGTGGAGTTCCCAGTGTCTTTGGCTTTGGCCTGGGGTGGGGGTGGAGTCCACAAAGCCTGCATGGGATTAGCTTTAGGACAGCCTTTTCCCCCAACACTACCTCTTATCAGGACGGTCCCTGATGGATAAATGGATTGCTCCTGCCCCTTGGGGGCAAGAAATGTTTGGGCCCTGGCCCTGCCCTCCCTGCTTGCCACCCTTGGCTCCCTACTACCTGCAAGGCTCTCATACTAGGTGGTTCTTACAAGAAAATTCGAGCGGCTCTGCTCTCAAGCAGGATCTTGTCTCTCCCCGATTTTACTGTGTTAATAGTAAGGGTCGTTTTCAAGCGACTCTTGGCTTGGCTTGAGGGAAGGAAAGGTGTTAATTAGCTTATGCGATGGGAAATCTGAATAAACCGGCAGCACAGAACCTGGTGGTGCAGAGTTTTGCTACAAGCTTCGAAGCCGCTGTAGTTGGAGGTGAGGAAACTGTTTGGTCCTGGCATACGGGTGGGGGGATACTTGGGGTGATACGTGTCTTTCGATGCGAACGAGATGGTGGTGGCCGGGGCGCCCTGGGCAGCGTCAGGGTGAGAGCAGGCTGGTGGCCAGAACGAGCCCCACTCTCTGCTCCAGGATATCCTGGGCTCTTTGCCTGCCACATGCCAAGGAAGCGAAAAACCGCTAAAGACAGAGACCGAGTCTTTGATAAGCACTTTTATTAGATCAGCTGGCGAGCATCGAGCTCCAGAGAAACCCCTAGCACCTCCCCTCACCGGCTGCTTCAA